AGGGGGTCTGGGCTGGAGCCTCGATGCTCCGGAGGAGGAAGAGGAGGAGAAGAAAGAAGAGGAGAAGGACGAGGAGGAGGAGGAGGAGGAGGTGAAGGAGGAGGAGGAGGAGGAGGGAGGAGGAGCTGGTGGCTCCCCTGGTGGTGGGCCCCCCGGTGGCGCTGCCCGAGGATGACCGCGTCGGGCGGGAGCAGCGCGTCGAGCTGCTCCAGCGAGGCCAGGACGATCCTGGCGATGTGGGGGCTCGGGAAGCCCAGGTCCTTTTCAGAGAGTGCGCCGAAGGGGGGGGCCAGGAACAGCTCCACTATCGGGAGCCCACGAGGGGCTTCCGCGCCAAACCACGAACATGAAGACGGCCCTCCAGTCCGCGAGACCAGCCGCGAGATACGGACGTTCGCACAACGCGTGCTTTGGAGACCAACTGTCGAAACCAACCAAGGACGGCTAGAAATTCCAGGGGCCCTAACAATCTGAGAGCGCGGACCGAAGTGAAGAGGCCCAACACAATTAGGGATGGGGTGGTCCTCTTCTGTAGGGGTATCAAGCCAGAACCCCAGATTTGTTACCCCTAGTGCAAGCACGGGAACCAAAGTTAGTCTACGTCTGCATTGCGTTACTGCTGGGCCTAGGACAGAAGACCATCCTTCAAGAACATGAGGCCCTCTGTCTGTCGCCCAAACCGAAAAACATTCGAGCGTGCCCCCCCAGGCTGCACAGGAACATCCAACAAGCGCAAAGAACAGCAGCAGGGTGCCCTCCCCGAACCGACCTCGATCTTGGACCTCGGTGACCTCGGCCCGACAGCTTCCGGGGTTTTGTGGCCTCTTGTCTTGCCGGGTTAACCTCCGAGCGCGCCGAGGAGGGGGGGAGCCGCGAGCAGCTCCACGAGGACCGGCCCTCGACGCCTGACCGGCCTCGTGGGAGCCCTCCGCGGGCCCCGGGGCCGGACGACGGGGCCACGAGCTCCCGCCTCGTGGCCCGAGGCACGTGCGCGGGCGCGCAGGGCCAGGGGGACGCGCCGCAAGAGGGAGCACGCGGGCCCAGGGCACAGGGGCGACGTCATGCCCCCCCCGGGCCGAGGCAGCCGTCCTCCGAGGGAGGGGGGGCGCAATGTCTGTGTGTGGGGGAGGGTCCTGCTCGCAGGGGGAGACGGTCGGCGGGGGCTGCGCAGCGGAGAGCGCTCGGCGGCGGGGCCCCGAGGGCGAAGGCGCACACGTTCCTGGGCGGGGCTTGGCTGTCGGGCCCCTGTCGCCGCTGCATGGGCGCTTTCGTGGCTAACGGGCCCCTGTCGGTCGCCGATAAATAGGCCCTATCGGGCCGACACATTTCCCTGGAGCCTATCCTCACCATTCCTCCTCCTCCTCCTCCTTTGCCTTCTCCTCCTCCTCGTCCTTTTTCCCCTCCCCTTCCTCCTCCTCCTCCTCCTCCTCCTCCTCCTCCTCATCCTCCTCCTCGCTGTCGTTGCCCACTGGCTTCCGGGTCGTAGCTCGGCTGCTCTGGATGCCATTCGGGACCCCCAGGACGCTTTCGCGCCCGCGGCTGCTGGAAACCATCCCGAGACTGGAGAACCGCCGAATATGGACGAACACGTCCGAAGACCTAACCCGATCCAGTCCCTCAAAGGGCGCTTACCTTCGCGCTTCGCGCCGCGCGGAGCGCGAACAACTTCGCGCTCTCGCGCCGCCCCCCAAGGGAGAAGAGGAGGATGAAGAGGAATCGGAGCCCAACCGCGAAGCGCGAAGAACTTCGCGCCCTCGAGGGCGCCCTTATCCGCCTCGTCGGCGCCCCTGACCTCCATAGAGCCCTCCGGGCACGTCACGCAGCGGCCCCGGAGGCCCGAACAAAAGGGTCCCCGAGGAAACAAATCAAGGATGATCTCGAACGATCATATAGTCTGGGCCCCACCCCCTTCGGGGGAGGGGGGCCAACGGGTAGGATAGCAAAGGACAGGGTTGAGAATCAGCTCACGCAGCTGGTGTTCCTGGCGCCTACTGGAGCCAGGAGGCGCCACTGTATCGAAGAATGCGCCCGGCGGCGAGGCCGAAACCAGCTGCACGCATCAGATTTCGTAAACCCTCCTTTCCCCATCCCCCCCTTTCGTTCGGCCCGACCCCTACCGCTGCTCCTGACAGTGGGCGCCCTGAAACCGTATCGTGTCTGACCGCGTGGTGCCCTCGGAGTCCCCAAGGACTTCGCCACGCGGTGTGGTCACGGCTCCGTTCGGCTACACGCAGGAGTGACCCCAGGTAAGAGTGACCTTTGGTGCGCGGCTTGTTTGGGGCCAAGAGGGTCCCAAACACAAGCGCGCAAGACGCTACTGCTGCCTCGCATTCGGAGATCACCAAAGGTCATTCCGGCGAAGGGTCACTCTTACGTGTACTCGATTGTGACGACCTACCAGGCCACCCCGACCGAGTCCAAAGACCCGACTTTGGGGTTTGGGGGGTACGCTACGGGTTTCATATGTGTTTTTGTCCATGCTCCCCGACCCCCTTCCCCCCCGCACTGGGAATGGCAGGCAAAAAAGGGCCTTTGGGTTGGGTGGGGATGCCTTGGTGGGTGGTGAAACTGAGGGCGCCCGGCCGACTTTCGGCGCCCCCCCGGTCCTCGGCGCCGCGCAGCTGCTCCCGGGAGAGGCCCACGCAGCTGCGGAAGTCCGCCCCGGCGGAGCGCAGCCGCTCGGGCGGCACCACGTTCAGCAGCTCGACCAGCTCGCTGGAGGCGGGCGCCGGGGCGAAGCCCTCTGCTCGGCTTCACGGCAGGGGGACCCCGCGGGCAGGAGTGGCCCTCGGTGGGCGGCGTTCGGGGGGCGCGGGGAGGGCGCCCAAGCGCGCAAGCAGCTGCTATCGAACCGCATCCGCGGATCGGGGGACGCCAGGTGGCCCGCACCACAGGCGCACCAGAGGTCACTGCGGCGAAAGGTCACTCTTACGTGTAGCCGATCTGCAGGCAAGTGGGGTTGTTGGCGGCGCCCACAGTTGTGCGGCGCGAGGGGTGCGGCTTGCTAAGGATTCTGAATGGGGCTTCTCAGAAGACAGGAACCACCTTAGAAAGCAGCGGCGGACTTTCAAGAATGCGTCTTCGGGAAGCCCCCGTGCCTTCTCAGAGAACACGCCGCCTTCTTCGGAGCCGGCCCTCCCAGCGCCACCCCCGTGCGGGCGCCACCAAGATTCGACGGATAACAAAAAAGTGCAGCATCCTGTTACCATGAGAAGCGCCACATGAAAAACTAACCCGCGTTATGGCCCCAGAGGTGCCAGGACGCACGAGCTTCCGGCGGCGGAACCGCCGTCATTTTATTTCCGCAGGCTTTCCGCCGGCATCCGTTTCTGCGAGGTTTGAGGGGGCACGATCTTGAGCAGGGACCGACCGTCCCGGCATTCCTATAGTCCTACCACGAAAAGTGCTTAGAACCCAAAAATGTTCTAAGAACAAAACAATGTTCTTAGAACAAATTTCCGATGTGTTAAAACAAGACAACCCCGGCCACACATGTTTTGAGAATATTTCGTGGGAGCGTCAAACGGTTCTTAAAACACTGTTTGGTGGGGCTATAGGCGAGCCGGGACGCTTCGCCACTGCTTGACGATCGGAGGGGGGTACACCCTGCGAAATGCTTAAGAAATCATGGGTTAAGAAATCTATAGTCTCAGAATTTGAAGTAAAACCTAGAATCTCGATTGAAATCATTGGATTTACACTGGAACCTTAAGAATAATCGAGACTCTGGTCGAAAACTTAAGCTTTCTTAAGCATCGCCTCGGGTGTAGGGCCCGCTCCTGTGGTGGTGGGGGAAACAGAGACTTGCCGTCGACGATGCGTGACGTTCCCGGGCAGGGCGGGCGCCCCTCGCCGCCGCATGGGCGATCTGCGGGCGATGCGCCCAGAATGAGCCCATCCCCCTTCTGACGTTGCGTCCGAGAGGAGGATTGGGCTGAGAACAGAAAGAGCAGTACAGGAGCACAGTGCACGAGTGCAGTCTTCGTGGTCAGAGGAAGGAACGACCCATGAGGAACGAAACCCCCCCGTCGCCAGGCGTGCCAAGGCGCGCGAGGAGCGCTGGAGCGCTGGATGAGCAGTCATGGAAGGACCGAAGGAACATCGGGCCACTTCCAGGCCCCTGTTCTTGGTTTGAGCGTCTTGGCTGTGTGATTGCCCTGACGCTCTCGCGTCGGAGGGGATCCACCTCACCACCGAATTTTGTTTGCCATTTTCGGCCTCTGGGGGCCCCCACCCGGCCCCCAGACCGTCAAACAACGACTCAGGATGACCGGCCGGTCGCAGGGAATTGGTCTGTATCTCTGGGGAGCCAAGTTGCGGAAAAAACCGCAACAGTGGATGTTTGGGTCGACGGAAAGCAGAAACCATATCTGCGCCCACGCCGGCGGGGCGGCCCTATCAGCGAGTTGCTGCCGAAGGAGCACCAATCTGTGACACCAAACTGTGGCTCAACGTGCCATTGATACTTACACCCACCGAGCGTGACCCACCAGGGAACTATAGACAAGCATGGCTTGGTGCACGCGTGGCGAAATCCGGAACTCCTGAGCCCCAAAGGTGTGCGGTTTCCCGAGAGTGCATCATCTACTCCCTTTTTTTTCACAGCACTGCGCCCAAAATCCTTCAAAGGGGCGTTTCGTGAGGGGCCTAGGGTAAAAACCACCGAGGGTCGGCGCACGATATGGCTATTCATATCGAGGGATCGGGCCCGAACGGGAGCACAGCGGGCAGGACGAGAGCTAAACCACGACCCCGCGTTCACGCGCCCCCGCCTTCTGCGGAAGCGGCACTGTGAGGGCGGCACCTGTTCCCCCTCTGGGGCGAGGTGGCCCCTCTCCTCACTTTCAAAGCACAGACGGCGGAACCAGACGCAGGAGGAGAGAGGGGGGAGGGCAGCGGCAGCAAGCGACAGTGGCGCCTCGGGGTCTCAGTGAACACCCACGAGCACAGCGACGAGCGGGTTCCACCCGTCGAACCCCTCCTCGACGATGCAGCTCCGTTCATGCCCCGAGGAAGCGACGCCGCCGACGCCAGAGAGGATGCACGAGGTATTGTCTATATCTCTTGTCGATGCCGTCGAACCTCTCTGTGGTCATCTAAGTTGGTAGGATGTGCGTTGGCGCTTGAATATTTCTCCGATCGATGGCTGGCGTTGCTTCTGTGGCAAAACTGTGGCGACGTCGAACCTGGACGAACCAGGATTTTGTGCCTCTACTTGCGCTTGGGCTTCTTGGCACCGCCCTTTTTCGCCCCTCTTGGCGCCGCCCTTGAACGCCAGCTGCTCTAACTGCTTGGCTGCCTTCGAGCGGGGTCCGTGATCGTGTCCGAGCGTGAGGCTCGCCGCAGACAGGCCGTTGTTGAGCCTCAGCACCGTAAGGGCGGTCTTGAGCTCGATGTGGTGGTTGCAGGCCCAGATCCAGCGCACTTGGTTTTCTCCGCCCTCGGTGAGGACTACTTTGAAGCACCGCGTCGGCTTGGCCAGCGTATCCTTGTCCTGAACCAGCGGGCCCCAGCCCAGCAGCACGGCCATTCCCTCGAGCGCCTCTGTCGCGAGCGGGCCCTGGCCGATCGCCTGCTTCACATGCTCTAAGTCGTTCTGAACCGCCTCCGTGAGGCGGAAGATGGTCATGCGGAACAGCGCGTCTGGCTTCTTGCCGTCTGGGTGACCTCGAAAGTTGTCGCCCTCGCGTGCCGTCTTGCCCACTTCCACATAGTGCTGGTAGCCTTGCTCCTTCGCACCCTCCTTGAGCGTCAGCGTGAAGTTGTCGCCTCGGGCGGCTGACTGGTGGGCGGCTTCGTGCTGAAGAAGCATGCGGCACATGAGGTTATGCAGCTTGCCGTTGGGGGCCCCGTCGGTCGAGCTTGTGGCCTCGCTCGGTAGTGCTGCCAGTGCCTCGGCGCCTCGCTTGGGCTTCGTCACCTCGCTGATCGGGCCGAACGTCGCACGAGTGCACGGGCGCTGTCGCAGGGGGGGGGGGGGGGGGCGCAGAAGACGGATGTGGCAGGTCCTGGTGGTCCGGGTCTCGCTGGCCTAGCAGCTTGAGTCGACGACGACGGTGGGGCACGGCATCGCTGCAGGCGGAAGTGGCGGACCAGGGCATCCTTTCTGCTGGACTTGGTCTGGCAGTGTGGGCACCGAAGGGCCCTCAACTGGTCATCGGTGAGGTCCGTGGGCTTCGCGTACTTCTGGTGAACCCGAAACATATAGTTGTCGAGCCCCTTCGAGCCCTGACACACACGGGCGCGCAATGGACGCGCAGGAGCTGTTCGGGAGGGGGCACTTCGGCAGCGGCTATCTTCGCTTCCTCGTCCGTCTGATTGCTTCGCACCCGTCGGAGCTGGGCTCGAGGAACCTGACGCAGCCAACGGAGCCAGGGCCTGGTGGGAGTCGGGTCGGGATCTCCGAGTTCATGGTCGTCACGGGCCTGCTGTTGGGCCTCCGCTGTGTACGCCTTCCAGAGCTTCCGAAGGTCCTCCTGGAGCACGCCTAGAAGGGAGTTGATTTCCTTGTGACGAGGGCCCTCGAAGTTAAACCTGCCAAAGACCACTGCGCGAACCAGCTTAGTGGGGTCGTACTTGGGGTCCTGGGAGTGCTCCTGTGGGTCCTGCCGGGGCGCCTCCTCTGGGTTCTCCGGGGCCTGCATCTGCTTCGAGTCGGGGAAGGCAGGACGTGCCGCACCCTGCCACCGCGCAAGGCGACGTTCCAGCGGCGTAGATGCCACTGTCGGGGCCCTGGTTAAACGCTTTATCTCCGCATTACTCGTGTGGTGGGCATGGGCAGGAGAGCGAGCGAGGTAGCGAAGTTTGCGAGTCTGCCAGTACTCTAGTCTATTGAGATCGCGCTTACTCAGGACTGCCACCTCCAAGCTGTGCAGGGCCGTTGGCCGAGCGAGGGGGCGCCATGAGCGGACTCGAAGGCGCGCACTGAAATGCCCCTTGAAAGCTCTACGTGCAAGTCGAGCATGTGCTGCATTACCTCCCTGAAGGGTAACCTCCTCCACCATCGTGCCATCGTCACGCTGCTTCGCTCCTAAGTGCTTCACACTCGGAGTGGCATGGACTGGGGTCTCGTGCATGTGAATGATTTTTTGCTTCGCTCTGATCGTGGCTGTGCGGCTTTTGCTTTGCTTACTCGTCGTGCCGATCAACATCTCGGTTTTGGTGTCGTTAACCTTCATCTTGCCTTTCGTGATTTCTGCCTGCAAAAACGCGGGGAAGCGAGAGACCGTTTCGAAACTTTCGGCAATCTTGAGGGCGATCAGGTCGTCAACGAATTTGATGGGAGACACGGCCGTCCTCTCCTCCTCCTCCTCACCAAGCAAGGCGTCCTGATGGCGTATCTTTTCTCAGTTCTGGGTCAAAAGTCACAAAAATCTCGGGGAACCCGGTCCTTGCCTGGCTCTGCTCCAGCTTCGATGTGAGAAGGTCGTAGACGGCTATGAACGGCAGCGGACCCTCCACACTGCCCTGCCGCACTCCGCGTGGGATCAAGAGCTTCTTGATGGGTCGGTTGGTGCGGATGTCGCGAGCAATGTAGCATGTGCCCTCGTGTAGCTCTTCCACTGTCAGGCGCGCCTCGCGGCTCAGGGCGAGGGCCTCGAGCGCGGCCCAGATCTCGTCGCGATCGATCAGGTCGAAGGCCTTCTCGAGGTCTATCAGGACCGCAACGAGCATGCCTGGGATTGCGGAGCCCAGCTTGGACGCGCGGCCATGGAGTCGGAATCGTCGGACAACCTCGGCTACGACCGCCAGCGCACCTCGGGTAGAGCGGCCCGCCAGCGCGCCGAACTGCGCGGTCGAGAGCTTCGAGGCCAGGTTGCGGAGGGAGGGCATGACGGTGACGTTCATGAAGACTTTGCCAATGTGGTTGATGAGGTTGATGGTGCGGTAGTGGTCGCGGGCGTTCTTGCCATCCCCCTTCGGCTTGCGGAGGGAGATAGTCTCGCCGTCTTTGATGCGCTGGGCCGAGTGGCCCAATGCTTGGCTAGCCTGGAAAACTTCGTGAAGGACTGGGACCGTTTCTGCGATAGCAAGCTTCCACAATTCGATAACGGAGCCGTCGTGGGGGTCGGTCGAGTCGGGCGACATGTTGAGGAGGGGGGTCTCGTGTAGTTCGGCAGTTTGGCGATAGCCTTGGCAACGTCATCGGTCGTGTATGAGCCAATGCGTATGCCGTCTCGTGGGAGGACCCCAGGAGAGCCTCCAGGTTTGTCCATATTGATCAGGGTGCCGTCAAAAATGGTGCTGGTGACCGTGATGACTGGTGCCGTAGGCTCCGGAGCTAGGCGGCGAACGACGCTGTGGAGCTTGCGCAGGTTCATGTTTGCGTTCGCTGCCTCGGCCTCCGCCGCTGTCTCTGCGAGACGTCGTCGGCGTTCTGAGCGCACTGCCTTGGCAGCCGCCTTGGCCGCCTCGTCGCACAGGGTCTGGAGCTCGATGAAGCGCGTGCAGGCGGGGTCGGGGATCATAGCCATGCGTCTCTGAATGGTGTGCTTGGTCTCGATCAGGGCCAGGGCGTTGTCCGTCAGCTTGGGGCGCGTGGTCTGCGTGGGTTTGTGGACGTAGTGCGGGGCGGCAGCCTCAATGATGGCGTGCTCCACGGCGTTGAAGTATTCCGAGGGGGTGGCGAAACGTAACTCCTCGCCACACGTCATCCACCAATAGTTAGTGAGGCCGCTGTCCGTCATCATCTGGGCTAGGGTTGCGCGCAACTGGAGGACGCGCTGCGGGGGAGGTGCCTCGGGGTCTTTGAGCGTGTGGAGGTCGGCCACCATGGCGTCACGGTTCCACCGCAGGGGCTTCTCCTCGGGCTGGCGACGCGCACGTGGCCCAGCGTACACGTAGGCTTCGACAGGTCGGTAGCCGCGGCATCCGCCAAGGCTGACTGGCAGCTGTTGTAGAGGGGTTGCGTGCTTGCCGTAGGGGCCTGCAAAGCGGGTGCAGATGTAGCCGATGGTGGTCCATCCTTTGCCCACCGTATGCTTCCACGTGCCGTTCTGGCGAGAGCTCTTGCCGAACGTGTTCAGGGCCATCATGTGGTAGTCCTGGAGGAGTTCAAGCAGGCGCGAGCCGTTGGTGTTGGTGGCTGCATAGCGGCGTCTCTGTCCAGCGAAGCCCACTTTCGGCAGGGATGGGGACATGGCAGCATTGGCGCCCAGGTTGAAGATCAGGGCCAAGCGCTGCGGGATCTGGCGGAGGGCCGCTCGACACGTGTCCCAGAACTGGGTTTGTAGGGCCTTATGGGCTTCGGTTCGTTCGTGATGATCGGCTTCAATGCGGCCGTGGCTGCCCTCGTTCAGCGGGGCGTAGCCATTCAAGAAGTAGATATCACGTTCTCGGGGGCCTGTTCTAGTGAGTCGAATACCCTGTAATCGCCCACTCATCCACTCGTGAGTGACTCGGGGCTCGCTCAAAGAGAAAAACTTCAGGTTGAAAACTATCAGACAGCCATCTCTACTGGTTCTGGTCGTACGCGGAGTCGGGATAATTATGTAGCCTTCTGTGGTCCACGGGGTGGCGAGCTCCAGCAGGGTACTCTGGAGGCTAATGATGGCAACACGAGCGGCGCCGGCGAGTCGAAGGATCTCGGCCAGGCGATCCGCTCGGAGGAGGCTTTCACAGTTGTACGTCCAAATCTTTATCAGGTGTTGTTGACGATGATGTCGGGCTCGCTGGCGAAGGTGGTACTTGGCGGCGCTGGAGGCCGTGGGGTCTCGAGCTGGTGTCAAAGACCTCGATGCATAGAGAGTAGATGTAGTTCCCAATGTCGTCTGAGCCATGAATTGATGGTGGTCCGAGAGTAGAGCGGCTGCCGTAGCTCGGGTGTACCTCTTACCACGGTACCAGACACTCCCGTCCAATTGCAACACTCTCGCAGCCCGTCGTAGGGCCCGCTTGCCTCCCCGATGCACTTGCTCCCTGGAATCCGATGTGGGCATAGTCTATCTCGAGTTCCAGGTTCAGGACCGTCGTGCCGCAGTCCAGCGTTCACCTCACCGACCTTGGGAGTCGTGTCGGTCTTCCTCGTCACTTGCGCCTCACGGCGCTGGCCATGGCGGCAGCATGGGAGAAAGGTCGGGTTT